TACTATTTAAAAATTAAAAATAAATGAATTACTAACACATTTTGCATCCCAAATAAACCTCAAAAACATTAAGTAAAAGAAAATAGCAAAAGACTACATGTTCTATGATTCCATTTACATGAAATGGTCAGAAAGGAGAAATTTTTAGATGCAGGCAATAGATCAGTGGTTTCCTGGAGCTAGAGGGAAGGAATAAGGACTGCGTGCAAATAGATCCAGGGAAATTTTGGGAGGGATGGAAGAATTCTAAAACCAATTGTGAATGACTGCACAACTCTATAAATTTACCTAAAAATGATTGAATTGGGTGAAGAATATAAACAGACATTTCTCAAAAGAAGACATTTATGCAGCCAACAAATATATGATAAAAAGCTCATCATCAAGGCCGGGCACAGTGGCTCAAGCCTGTAATCCCAGCACTTTGGGAGGCCGAGGTGGGTGGATCACGAGGTCAAGAGATCGAGACCGTCCTGGTCAACATGGTGAAACCCCGTCTCTACTAAAAATACAAAAAATTAGCTGGGCATGGTGGCACGTGCCTGTAATCCCAGCTACTCAGGAGGCTGAGGCAGGAGAATTGCCTGAACCCAGGAGGCGGAGGTTGCGGTGAGCCGAGATCGCGCCATTGCACTCCAGCCTGGGTAACAAGAGCAAAACTCCGTCAAAACAAAACAAAAAAAAGCTCATCATCCCCAGTCATCAGAGAAGTGCAAATCAAAAACACAATGAGATAACATCTCATACTAGTTAGAACAGTGATTATTAAAAAGTCAGGAAACAACTTTTACACTGTTGGTGGGAGTGTAAATTAGTTCAACCATTGCAGAAGACAGTGTGGTGATTTCTCAAGGATCTAGAACCAGAAATACCATTTGACCCAGCTATCTCATTGCTGAATATATACCCAAAGGATTATAAATCATTCTGCTATAAAGACACATGCACACATTGGTTTGTTGTAGCACTAATTACAAAGGCAAAGACTTGGAACCAAACAAATGCCCACGAATGACAGGCTGGATAAAGAAAATGTGGCACATATACACCATGGAGTAGTACTATGCAGCCAGAAAAATGAATGAGTTCAGGTCCTTTGCAGGGGATATGGATGAAGCTGGAAACCATCATTCTCAGCAAACTAACGCAAGAACAGAAAACCAAACACCGTATATGCTCACTCAGAAGTGAGAGTTGAACAATGAGAACAAATGGACACAGGGACAGGAACATCACACACTGAGGCCTGTCAGGGACTGGGAGGCAAGGGGAGGGAGAGCATTAAGACAAATACCTAATACGTGTGGGGCTAGATGACATATTGATAGGTAAAACAAACCACCATGGCACATGTACACCTATGGAACAGACCTGCATATTCAACACATGTATCCCAGAACTTAAATTAAAAAAAAAAATTTGAATTTTCCCATTAGAGAGACTGAATTTTATAGTATGTACAATATATCCTAATAAGGCTATTTAAACAAAATCAAAAAATGGCAGTATGTGATCATTATTTAAAATACAAAGGTAAATGCCATGAGTAAGTTAGGGGCAAGAACTGTTGGTAGAAAAGATTAAAAGAGGAGTCATTATTTTACCAAAAAAATCTTTGTATGGTTACTTAAAAATGTATATAAAATAACCTGTATACAAAGATGTGTCACTTTTATAAAAATTAAAATACTTTTAAAAGTATTCTCTACAAGCTAAAAAAAAAGGTTTTGGGGTACAAACATATATGATAAAACTAAAATTAAAGCTAGAGAACG